AAAGACCTGACGGCTGCTTAATTCTAAGCAACACGATTAATGTACTGTTTACAAAGAATAGGCTATGTCTTTTACTAAGACCCTTACCTTTTACTAATACCTTTGCACATTACTAGAGGATTATACGCACTGACTGGGTGGAGAAGTGAAAACTGCACCTAAGAAACTTTGTGTTTCTATACCGGGAAGGAATAGTGCAATATTAGTATTTACGTATATACAGCAAATACACAGGAATGTAGGGAGAGATATGAGGGATTAGATCGGTACTCGATGAAGAGCACGACACCAATAAAAGTAGCAACAGGCAAATGTTGTTGAACTATTTTTTTAGGTTGACAATGCACTTGCCCAAATTATATTCAAGAAAAGTCCACCACTAGATGAAGTCCCGGGCAGAAGCTAGAGTCTTTCAATTTTTTCACACGTGTTTGTGAAGACGTCTAACTACGTCTGTCAACTTCTGATGGATAGCTCCATTGTGAAGTGCCTCCTAACGTTCCATCATGCTGACTTGCAAAATTAATGTTCAGATTGGCAACAGAACGTGTGCACAAAATGCCACCATTTGGTGGATATGACTAAATGTTCTAAGAACAAATGAAATGGTATTATGTACGTAGTAGAAAAACACCGTAAACCCTTTTCTGTCTCCATATAAATTCGTTGGAGTATTTGTTTGGGAGTTCGCTGTTGTGCTCTGACAGACAGAAGTTGGGAAACATTAAAAAATATTCCCCATCAGGACATTGGCAACCTTTTCAAACCCGTGAGCGGTTAACGACGAGAGACCACAGAACACCGCACCCAGCTGGTGCATCTGTCAGATCAGTCCGCTCCTTTGGTTATTCACAATGACGGTGATTGGTCCGCACATGGACGGACCTTCTTGGTGCGGATTGCCAGTAATTGTCACCTCGTCTTCCGGGAGTGAGGAGCCGTGACCCGTGAGCCGATTCCGGGTCTCCCCGAAATCTGCCGGTAATTCCTGGGAGGTCTGAGCGTTTGGAAAGGTGCTGAGGTGTCGTGGGGACGGAATAATCTCTGGAATCAACCGGTCAGCCTGTTGCGTCGATGATCGATGTATAACGGAAAATGGACTCTCGTGAGAAACGGCGGGGCAAGTTCTACCCGCAGCTTTCGCTCAACATTTTCTGCAGTCGACTTCAAGACCTTGAAAAAACAATCCACAAATTGACTGAGCCAACACAAAAAGTTCTGCAGAAAACTACGTTATGGCTTCACATCATTCGTATGTTTCAAGAGGCAGACGTCACTGTCGCTTACTTCAAAAATCTGCCAAATGAAAACATAACTTTATTAACTTATATACACCCTTGTTTGTCTTGTCTCCCTCAATAACTCTGACGTTTATTTACAGAAGTATATATATATATATAGCTATCTAATGAAATTCCTCTGTGCAAATGTTAGCAGTAGGCTTTTTTCTGTCATTTTTGTTATTAGAAAATATCCGCAGAATAGACATGCCCAAGGCAAAGATTTAATTTCGTCGTAGCTAAACGTGCAACGGATCTTAATTAACAAGGTGGATCTGTTATGTTATAGACTTTATGCCTGTCTTAATCTGATAACCAGTTGAGATCGACCTTCAATGAAACACATGACTTCTTCGGAATTTATTTAATCTGGACATGTCTGACTCTGTTATCTCTGTGGATAGAATAATTGAGATTCGGCAAATCAAATGAGACA